GTAGTTTCTTACTGTAAAGTTATTTCCATTTTTCTTCTTCAGTTTCCCTATTAATATCTCTTCATTTACTATATTCTCTTCTATTGCAATTTATATGAGTTTGCTTTGCTTTAGAAATCTACTACTTATTCTCTCTATCCAAGTTATGTTGTAAAAGGGATTCATTCCTGAGTAAAGGTTAATCAGTCTTATCAAAAAGTCTAGATTAATTGTTTCAATGGTTATTTTGTTGATAACCTTTTCATAGAATCATAGTTGTCTACCCTGTGCTCTCTATTAGTTTGTGTGACAAACTTGGGCTCAGTTTATTGTCTTGACCTTGTTATAATTGACGAACTGTTCTACCTATTTAAGGTTGCTTGTTCTGAGCTTGTTCCTATGTCTGCTAAACCATTTTGATTCCATGAGTGCTTTGATAGATGTTAAATTCTCTCTTGCTGTAGTGTTTATATATTTCTGCTCTTTAAATGAGAAACCCTATTTTTGTGTATCAATGAGTACATCCTATAAAAATTTGAATCTGTTGAATATACTTTTGGGCATGTATTCAAAATGCTTGTCTCTGATCAAGATGCCCACTATATATTTATAACTCTTTCTCTGCATAGTCTTCCTATATAACTGATTGCTTGATACAGGTTCTTAATCAATATTATATATATTTGAAGCATTTGGACTTTGAAGTTAAATATGTTATAGCCCAAATTGCTATGGAACACCATGTTCAGGACTGAGGTAGCAAAGCACAATTTGTGTTTGAGTATTCTTTTTGGCCTTCTGTCAATAAGGTTTGTTTTGGCCTCTATAATTTATTGATTCTGAATAAAGTATTTCAACTTGGGCATGATCATATGGTTGATCAAATACTGTGTTTATTTGTCAGAAACTTTTTTCCAAAGAAGGCAGTTCGTAAGGTTTGTTGATATTTGGCAAATGAGATTTGTTTGATGTTTTTTCTTGTTATCAGGGTTGAACCATACTTTCAAATATTTTATTGTACCAATGATAGCCTTAATAGTGATTTGTTTAAAAGTTATATTTGTTTCTTTTTTGTTGTTCAAAATAATCCATTCTGATTTGCTTGGATTTACCTTAACTTGAATGAACCTATATAATGAGCTGGAGATATTTGTAATAGCTTCTAGCTATCTCTGATTTCTTGCAATCTATGCTATATCATCTATGTATATTATTACTGATGTGTTTGTGTAACTTTAAACTATCTTGAGTTGAGCTATCTCATATATTTTGACTATACATTTGTATCCATGTATCTCACTAATCCTGCAGATAAGTGAATTGTAATAAATGTGCCAAAGGAGTGGGGATATTATGTCTCCTGGATCTATCCTGTTTCTGATCTTATATGACTTGATTATTCTTATCCCTGTGATTACCATATTTTTTCTGTCACTGAAACCTTGCATAATAATATTAATAAGTTTTCTTGAAAGTTTAATCCTTCTCATAACTTGCACCAGGGTATTTAGATCTACATTGTCATATGCTTTACTCATATTCTAGAATAGAATTCATAGTTCTTTTCCATTTTTCTTTGCATTTTGGAAGATAGTATTGATCTCAAAGATAGACTCAGTTGTATTGGTTTTAGGCAATGCTACCCAGTTGTATTTGAATAGAATTTTATATTCTATGAATATATTAGACAGTCTGTTTATGATCCCTTTGATAAAAAAATTTTTTATAGATTTTAACAATATGATTGATCTAACTTTTATGAGGTCATTGTTCCAGTCATATGTTTTCAAAATTGAGTATATTGTTCCTTCCTTCCATTTCCATAAAAAAGCCTTTTCCTGTAGGATCATATTAAAAATATTCTTTATTTTATTTATTATCTTGAGATCCAGGTGGTATAATGCTAGATATGGAATTTGTGATAGTTCAGGAACTAACATTTTGTTCGACTTAACTATTATGTCTTTTATTTCTTGTACAGAGAAGTCTGCAGTGGTTTCTTTGTACCATTTCATATTTACATGTTGCTTAGGTTCATATTCTTTCCACCATTCCTATGGGATTTCACAAAGGTTGGATTTTTTAGTCTATTTCTTAAAATGGTTGCATACCTAGGATCAAATTTCCTTCTCATTCAGGACTAAGCCTGGTTTTCCATTATTTGTTATCGGTTTATCCAATTTTATCTTCTATTTTTCCTTCTCTAAAATACTATCAATTATTTTTTTTTTATCCGTTGCAAACCAATTAAGGCAGTTGTTAATAGTATCTTTGATTTTCTTTCTATTTTCATTGCAGAGTAGTCTATGCAATGAGTTTTTCTTTTGCTTGATCTCTTCCATCACCCTGACTTTGGTGGCTATAAAGTTTTCTGGGATTTTCAGCTTTTCTGGAAGTTTGATACCATTTTCTTTGCTAAGCTATAAATTTTTGCTCTGGTTTTATCTCTAGGCCTATTGCCAGCTGCTTCTGTCAACAGCTTTTTGAGTTGACAAAGTCCGATCATTGATGTTGTTGCTACCTCGTTACATTTCTCTTGCTTGTTCTATATCTTGATTTGAGGCTTCCTGAACTTATGAATATGTAGACTTATTGCTTTGAGGATTATCTTTCTTAGGTCATATCATAATCTGTTGACATTTGTGCTGGAACTATATAGCTCCTTTTGGATATCCATCCTGTCTTCAATGTATCTTGTCCATTTCTTTCATTATGCTGGTTCAGTGTTAAACCAGTTGTATCTCATATTAGATATCTTCTGAACACATCTCTTTTTCTTTCATATGGAAAAGAAAAGGTGTGTTTTGGCAATAGCAATACCATAGTCATTTTTATACAATTATTTATATTCATTCATGATTCTTACCAAGATTAACTCCAAATACCTATTCTTGATTATCCATATCTGGTTAATTCTGCTTGCTATATCTGCTTCCATTTTCCAGGTATACTCTCTTCTCTGTGGGTTTACTGTATAAAAGATGTTAACAAAGGCATGATTCTTCAGGTCATTGATCAAGATACTATTTGATGATATTCTATTTTCAAAGCATTAATATTTGTTGAAGAACCTGTCCATATAGGATATGTCTGTATCATTTAGGTTTCCTGCCATTATTGTTTCCAGTTGGATTTGTAGCTTGTGCTTAACCATCTTGTTATCCTTTTCTCAAAGGTAGATCTGTCTGTGATCTTTGCCAAGGAATATATTTTTATAATTCTGAAATATTTTTTATGTGGGGAAGCCAGATCTAGCATAATAGCTCTATCTTCTACTACTTCCTTCCTAACAATTCTCCTTGCTAGTTAAATTCTGAGAGCTACACCTATCTTTGATCCTTGCTTTTGATTTGTGTTAGTTACACTCATATGTTGCATTTTTCTAATGTTTTGTTATGTGATTGCTTCCATTTGTCTCTGTACTAATTACAATGTCCCAATTTTCCTCATGCCATAACTCTGTCCAACTTATTCTATTTAACTCTTTGTTGAGTTCTCTTATATTAGAGGTTGTGATTTGTATTGTTAGTTCTTCTTCTATTTGATCTAATGATTTTTTAGCAGATAGTATTCCTTTTCTGTTTCTATCTTGAGGTGTTTCCTTGGTTTTTAATGTGTTACTTATTAAAATTAGTATTGATATTGTTGTTGATTATCTGCCAGTGCTCTGATGGCTTCGAGTACTTTTTATATATTAGCTTGTATATTGTCTATTATTCTATTGATCTGTTATTGTCTTTTTCTGATATCTGTTGTCTCTTATCCTTGGTTTGAAGTTTCTGGGTCTTTTAAATTATTTGTCAGTGATTCATTCTTCTCCTTACCATTACTATTAGAGAATTGTTCCATCTCGTTATAATATTTCTAATTATATACTTCTAGATTCATGACTCTTTTGTCAAGATCTGTTATTATCTCCTTGAGGTTTGTAACCTCTGTTTGAATAGTTGTGAGCATTTCTATGATCTTATATAGATTTTGAGATTGTTGCATGTGTCTTTACTGATATTATGGTTGTTTTTGGTAATTTTGTTGGATTTGATTCTTGTTTGCCCTATCTTGCTGATTGTTGTTAACTCGTACAGCTGCTACATATGATGTTGGTCAATTGTCTCTCCTATCATTCAATAACATATCAACTCTGAAATCATCTATTCTGACTGGCTTGAATTTACTATAGATTCGATTATATTTTTCTGTTTGAGTATAGTTAAATTCTCTCTATTGTTTCCTCTACTCCTTGATGGGACAGCCTTTCACATAATATGTTGTTATATTATAGATAGGGCAGGAGATGTGTTGATAGGGGCCAGGATTATCATAGTCTTCCCAAGGATGTAAGTCATATATTTTACTGAGAGTAGGTCTTTACTCAATTTGAAACTAACTAATATAAATTTTTTTGGTTTATATCTTGTTAAATAGATGTGTAGGATATAACTTGTATGTACTTTCATCTTATTTAAAACTTGCTTTAGGTCTCATGCTGTAGTACACGGAGATAAGTTGATTATTTTTGCTATGATACTATATCTTTCTCTCATTCACTCTATTAATCAATTAGCATTGTTAATCCTGATTACATCACCTTTAATGAGAATACTATATTTATTGATAAAAGTCTCTTTGATTGCTTCCTCCTCAAAAGTGATTATAGTACACTGCCATAAGTTTGTGTACTTATATTGATTTCTGAGATGCTACCAAATTTGTCAAAATTTTGTCTAACTTCAATAAGCTTTATATTTAGAGAAATGTTCCAGACCACTATGGATTTATCTTTTTCGATCGATTGTTTGCTGATCTGTATATGAGTGAGCTTATTATCATCTAAATTTGGTAATTTTATTCTTATTGCGCTATTTATTACTTGTCGATCGTCAAAAACTGTGACAATTTAGGTTTTCTCCTTTCTTTATTCACTGTGAATTGCGATAAGTCCTGGGAGCAACTTGAGAGCTTTTGTGATATAAAGAATTTTTGCATCATTGTTAGAGCTGGGTATGACATTAGCATTGATATCAACCTTGAAATGTTTCCTGTCATATTTAGTTTCTGGGTTTACTAGTGTTTTTAATTATGGTTTTATGCTAGGTTGGACTATATTATTTCTATGGCCTACTGTTGTCCAGGTGTCTTCTTTCCTTTCACTGACTGTATTTTTATGTTGCTGTTTTGTATCTTTAGTTCCTAAAAGATTACTTTTCTCTGTGAGGGGGTTCAGGCTACTTGTCACTCCTTTCTTTGAAGAAAAATCATCCATCGAGGGGCCTCCTGTTCTATTCATGGCTTCTTCCATCTGCTCACTTCATGTTTGAACTTCATGGATTGGTTCTATCTCTATTTCCATATTGGCAGCACTAGAAGAGGTTACTGCTGAAGGTTCCTGAGCATTGTCGAGCTTGCTACCTTGATTTGATTCTACTGTTGATGGTGTTGGGATCTTTGTCTGCATATTGGTAAGTTTCTTGGTATATGATTGATTATGGAAAGAAAGGATTTCTTTGTTTTTTCTTTTCATGTATTGGATTCTTTCTATCTTTTGTTATTCAAGTTGCAAAACCTTGGAGTTTCTGATATTGGAAGTTATCTTCCCTATTATTGAGATTGCTGTGCCTTAATTAATTAGAAAAGGATATAAATTTATATAATATTTATATATATTTATATTTTTTATAATAATTTATTTATTATTGAAATTAATTTTTCTTTAAAGACAATATAAAAAAATAATATGTTTTAATTAAATTTTTATTATAAAATTAATATTTATAAAATATAAATTATAAGAATCTTAAAATTAATATATTAAATTAATAAATAAAAATAAAAAAAATTTTTTTAATAAAATAAAAAAATTTTTTAAACCTGTAATTATACTATAATGACTTGTTTTTATTGAAAAATTAAAACAAAATCTATAATAATTTATAAACATTTATAAAATGATTAACTTGTTATTATATTTAAGTACTCCAAATTAAACTTTAGAAATAATATTATATTTTTTTGATATGATTAAATTAATTACTATTTATTAGGATAATTATTAATAGTTTATTATTATTAATTGATCTAAAAATCAATAAATTGCTAAATTAAAAAGAAAAAAAAAAAGAAAAAAAACAATTTAAGGTTTATCAAAAAAATTCAAAAATAAAAATAATCTTCTCTCAAAAAAATTTTATTTAATTGAGATAGTTTTTTTGTTTTACTTGAATCTTAAAAGAAATTATTTTTATTTTTATCTGTAATATTAAATAAATTAATCCAATCAATCCTTTATTTAAATAAATATTTGATTGAAATATCTCAAGAAAAGTATTTAAATCTTAATTTTTTTTTTATTAAAATATTATTATTATTTATATAAATTAAATAATAGTAAACATTCTATAATTTATACTATTTATTATTTGATATTTTAATCTTATGAATGCTTTCACTAAGGGACTTGAGCTTTTGAAGACAAATATTTTTGAAATATTCTTTTCAATTATTGATAATATTATTAAAACATATGAGTATAATTGATATAAGTTTATTTATATTTCAAAAACTAATATATTTTATGTTAATCAATTATATTTGATAAAAATTTATGTTTTCAAAAATTCAAAATCAAATTGAAGTAAACAAATTTTCTAAAAAATTGTGAAAGTAAAAACTTTAAAAGAATCAGAATAGTTCAAAAAAAAAGAGAATAAGTCTTTTAAATATAACAAAATCTTTATAAATCTTTTACTTCAAATGTTAGAAAAATCTTTAAATATTTTATAATCTGTATTACTTTCTTTAAAAACTTTTTTACTGTTAATATCAAAGATATTACTTGATTTTTATTGGTCATTGGAAGTCAAGTTTTGGAATAAAAAATTTTATAAATAATAAAGATCGAATAAAGATGATTCTTGAAGTCAGATTTCAAGTTGTTTTAAGTCTTTATTAGCAAATAAATAAAAACTTCTTGTAAACATTTTTTTGTATGTAAACAAAAGATCAGTAGAAAGAGTTTTTTGTATTTTTTCTTAATAAAATAATTTTTTAAAAATAATAAATTTAAATTTTTAAAAATTAAATAGTTTTATTATTCAATTAGAATTATTAAAAATAATAAATTAAAAATTTCAAATAAAATATGGCATAAAAAATACTATTTAATTAGATTATTAATTTAATTAAAAAAATTTTTTTTTAATTAAATTAATAATCTAATTAAATACGCACATTATTGGGAAAAGTAAGTACAT